AATCCCAATCTTCAGCTTTACCATTGTACCAGTGAACCAAGATTTTGAAAATCAAAACCAAAAAATCTTTTCCAAGACCTCCACAAAATCGTATCTCAATTCTTTACTCAATTCTTTTTATTTCTCCTCATGCTGATGTTGGTTGGGAAGATGATGAAAAGCAATTCTGGCTATAATATTGAAATACAAAATTTTCGAAATTAAATTATAAGTTAACGAACAAAATCAGCAGTTATTCTATGTTGGGCACCAACCCTATTTGACACTAGTATTCTTTTAATTTGAATTCCTAACTATTGGTGATGGCTTAACAATTCATAAAAACAATTAAAGTTGTGATGACTAACATGCTTCCATGGGGGAGGTAAAGATAAAGAAGAAAATTTGCAGATCTGATTTGTGTTTTAAGTGCACTCATCATTGACATCAAGTAAAAAATGCTTTAAAATGTTAAAGTAATGAAACTGATATGTTCGATATAGAAAATATTGGACATGCTGTAAACCTTGACTCAAGCAAGGACATAGAGTTCCGGATAAATGTCTCTGACATAAGATGGTGTGGTATACAAATACTCTTGGCGGTTTTGAAGTTGAGTTTTTAAGCATCTACGAAGTTTGATCTCGACTCTTGAGAAGCTTCTTGGAGTTGGTTGCAATATGTTTTCTTACCTTCTTATTCAAGGTTTGCATTATTTATATTATCAACTCCATTCTCTTTAGTATGAAAGTCACCATACAAAGGTATGAAGGAGAGAGAGCATGAAAGAGGAGAAGGAAACAATTTATGTCATTTTATATCTTAAGAATAAAAGTTGTTGATTTAGTAGTAAGTATAGAATACGAATATATGATGTCTCGAACTAAGATACAATTAACTGCCTTTCCGCTTCTCTAAAATTTAGCGATGCTCACTCTCTTCTCCTCCCAAGTTTTCGTGCATTTTACAATTTGTATCTTGGATCTAGGAGGTAATATCTCACCATGACATCAGCAATTATCTACTTTCCATTGGGTACGATCTCCGAGTGGTCCAACAAAACCAGCTTAACAACCCAAGCTAATGTCCTTCGTGTGAATAGGGAACAAAATTTTGTGCTTGTTCACCCTTGTCGTCGATTACAACTAATCCATGTTTACACAAAACTCCATCCACCTGAAATTGATTGCACGCACACGTAATCAACTTCAAAGCTACAACATGCTATGAGTTCTCATTTGACATTTGATACAAGAACTCATTTGATGCAAACAACTTGAAAATCATGAATTTCATGTTAAGAACTATATGCGATCTCATGTCATTTGTAATAAATCAATGTAATTGTGTACCATTACTCTGTAAGTACAAAATCATTATAAATCCAAAGTAATTTCTTTTCTTTTCGTATGCCAAGTTGAACAACAATTCATTTCGTATATTACATAAAATGAAAGTCGCAAAATATCAATCAAATGAATGAACTATCTAGAGGCACTTTTAATTATTCAAATCTAACATTGAGTTTCAATGAGCACTTTTGCATTAGTTCTCAACATTTTTTTTCTGGTTTTGACACAAGTCTTGGAATGTTCCTTGTGCAATGCTCTTGTTCTTTGAAAGCCACATCTATACCACGTTCACGGAGTCCATATCTACATCTACACAATAATGTATATTTCTACACAAGTTGATATGATCAGGGGAAGCCATTTATACATATTGATGAATGATAGATATACACACTTCATACGACGCATAACATCGTGTGATATCAATTAGAATCCAAATTGATATTATATGAATTTTCAAAATTTTTGACATGATAACCAAATCATTCCTCATGTGTTTGACCCAATAACCTATCTTCGTGTAAGAATGATAAAACAAATTACCACGCAAAGATCAGATTCAAGGATTACAAGCTAATCACCTACAACTAAATATACAATACACAAAATATCAATAAATATTGAATATCTATTAAATACCTCAATAGTCAAAAAATTTAGCAAAGATAAATCCTATAAGAACCTTGATAATAGAAGATCAAAGATGGCATTTATTTAATTTCAACAATTCCCTGAACGTGATGTGAAGAAAGCTCTCTTCATGATGATAGTCATTTTTGGAAGAAGAATCTACTGTTATTGCAATGTATCACTCATTTTGAATTTGAAAATCATCTATGAAGCAATAATTTATTGATTGCATTCCATGATTCTTGGCTAAGTATTTTCAGTTACGCCTCAAAATAGGAAAGGTCTCATAGTCAGTGTTCCAATTTTTTTTATGTGTATGTGTAGTAAAAGAAACATATAATAATATATTACAGTAAAAAATGAATTTGTTTTTTATTTGGAGGTATATATGATTTTTTCCCTAGAAGGATTACAACCCAAAAATCATCGTCTCCCTCCATCAGCCCCATCACCCGATAGTCATATTGGCTGTCAACCACCACCCTCCTCTACAACCTATTATTGCATAGATAGATACACACGAATATACATGCCTTGCAGTATCAGTATGTATAGAAATCAAGTAATGAATTAATTTCAGAAGCCCAATGCAGCCTTTGTATTATTCTAAGTAATTAATTAATTTCATTTAATGGCTTGCGTTATCAATTCTTCATTCTTTTCCTCAATTCTTCTGTACAGCCAACACATATCTCGACCCTCAATTTCATGTCGTTCTAGGAAGTGCACAATAATATGTGAAGTGAAGGAAGAAAAATCAAAATTCAGAAAAACCAAATTTAATTTTTTGAAGCTTCCTTTAACATTTATAGTAATTTCTGCTTCACAGTCCCAGCCTTCAATACCAGTTTAAAGTGTCCAAAAAGAAGCTTTCAGGAAACACTAACCCCAGAGGAATTGAAAACATGGGTTAAGGACCTTCCAACGATATCCCATAGGCTTGCTTATAATGAAAACTTGGACTTGAAAAGGGAAAATAAGCTTAAGCATGTTATGAAGCGCCGAATGCTGAGTTGAAGTAGCGGCTAAAGGTGGTTCTGGCGATCTTGGAGGATAACAAAATCCAGCTCCCTCTTGATGCTCCAACTCCCTACTTCACTTTTCCAGCTACGGCTCACATTAGCATCACCCCAGCAGCTCGATTTAGCTGGTCAGTTAGGGCAGTTGGTTACATGTGTCATCTTTGTATTGGTAGTAAATGTCAATCAGTTAGTTAGCTCAGTTTCTGTTAGTCTTGATCTGTATTTATACGCCAATGTAATGCATTCTTTCATTTTGAGAAGTTAATCAATGAAGTTCTTTCTTCTTCACTTTGATATGGTATCAGAGCTGATACCATACTTCAATTGAAAGTGATCCATACTTCTGGGAACAATGGGGTTAACTGAAGATTGATGGAATTTGTGTTATTGCTTTATAGTCCGCCGCTGAAAAAACCTGAAATTCCAAGGGCCTTATTTTGGGATCTTATTGAAAATTCCAATATAAATGTTTTCATTGGTCAAGCTAAAGCCTTAGTCAAAGGAGGCATTGGAGTTGAAGAGGGCAAACAAGAGTTTAAACGGACAAAGAATGAGGAGTTAGAAAAATTTAGGGAAGAAAGGGAGATGATGGAAAAATCTAAAAAAAAAAATGCAGAAGAATGAAGAGGAGAAAATGAGGCTAGAAATGAAGAAGATCAAGTATGAGGAGTTGTTATGCCAGGAACATAGAAGTTCGCAGGACATGGCAAGAATGTGGCAGAGATTATCTAGTGATTCAAATGTTGCCGAAGCTCTTTGTTTGGTTTTTTTATATATTTTATTGCGAGTTGTTCTTAGTTATAGGTAGCAGAAGAAGGATTACGAGGATAGGTTGAAGATAGAGAAAGCAGAAGCGGAAGAGAAGAAGATGAGGGAGCCAGAGAGGGAAATGGCTGGGATTGAGGATGATGATGACGAAGAGGAAGGAGAAGGAAAGTCAGGGGATAATCCTTTCATGAAAATGCACAGCAATTCATGAACTCTGGTGCATGTGTTCAGAGGGCACACAACAAGATACTTCCACAGGATTTGGAAAGAGTGGTGGATGTTAAATTCTCTGATATTGCTGGGCTTGGGAAAATTGGTCTTGAACTTGAGGAGATTGTGAAGTTCTTCACCCATGGAAAAATGTACCGCAGGCGTGGAGTCAAAATGGCAGGTCAGATTATTGTGTTTCACAAACTTTAGATGTTTGTTTTATGTCGTATTTATATATTTAGATTTGTTGTTTTTCTTTACATATGAAATCTTATTTCCCTGATGAGCAGTAAAGCTGCTATTGTTGTATGCTCGATAGTAGGTTAGCAATGAAGGTCCTGCAAAGAAAGCTTGACATGTATCTACATGATATCCTTTGTATTCAACTATGCTTTATCTTGCATCTCATTATTGAATTGTTCAATGCATATTAAGGCAATAATTATTTTGGAATTGAAGGTACTATGGCTAGATCAACATGTCTAGTAATCACAAAGCCACCTATTTTACTCTTTTATTTGGAAATGAAGATGTTGCATTCAAACAATTAATGGATAGCATTATGCATGCAAACTTATATCATACCCTGTTGATTTTTCCTAAAAATGAATTTTTTAATAGTTTTATATAAAAGTTGATAAAATGTGTAGTTGAAAAGTTGATAAATGTTATGGATTCAATAAAATGTGTGGTTGAAATTAATTGTTCGCCATGACTTAAATTTTTATCAACTTTTTTAACTAAACCAAACAGGGCATAATATCACAGCAGTATGATCTACAAACTTCCAATATTCTTTAGATTTTAAGAAAGTCTCTGTGAATATATTTATAGTGGGTTGAACAAATGAATTTATCAGATTCTTCTTGTCGTTGCATCTCAAGAGATTGAAAAGAAAAAAGAGTCCAAACTGTACTATGAAAATTTTAATATATAGAATACGTAGAACCATTTGATATGAAAAATTTCTAGAGAACGTTATTAGCAGCATAAATAAACAATTACAAAAATAAGTAGTTGCTACAAATGAGGAAATTGTTTAGAAACCACTGAAGGACATCAAAACTGAGTGAATCTTTAGTGGAAAAGTGTCTAATGATGGAATGGCATTGTCACTAGTACTTGTCCATTTGTAATCATAATCCAAGACCAATATTGATTTGGACTCCTGCAATTGTACACCCTGATTTTTCACTTCAGAAGTACTGGTCGAGGGTTTTTGAGACATTCTAACACTCTCCAAGTCCATGGCTACTTCTTTCATAGTTGGCCTTTTCTTTCCATTCAAATTTAAGCACCTTTGTGCAACTTTGGCCACCGCAATAATCTCTTCTTTGTTACCTTGATGTAAAACTTTGGTGTCAAGAATTGTTTCAAGATTTTTTCCTTCCATGCATAACAAAAACCTTGTTGCTAAACTTCTTTGCTCTCCTATTCTATCCAAAGATATTGGTCTTTGTCCAGTCAAGAGCTCGATAAGAACAACTCCAAAACTGTAAACATCACTCTTTCCTGTAAAATGATTTGATTGAAAGTACTCTGGATCTAGGTATCCCATTGTCCCTTTTACTAAGGTAGTTTGATGAGTTCGATCCGCTGCAATTGACATTGAAGTTCCAAAGTCGGCAACTTTGGCTACATATATTTCATCAAGAAGTATATTGGATGACTTAATGTCTCTGTGATAGATGGGAATAGAAGTTGCATAATGAAGATACGCAAGTGCTTCTGCAACTTCTATAGCAATTTTCAAACGATGATGCCATGTGAATTGGAATTCATCTTTCTCATCATGGATATGATCAAAAAGAGTTCCGTTGGAAATGAATTCATAAACTAGTAAAGGAACTTCTGTTTCAAGGCAGCATCCTAATAGCATAACAACATTCCTATGAATGATTTTTGAAAGCATGACAACCTCGTTAATGAATTGTCCCACTTGGTTTTCATCTATTAAGATTGATTTCTTTATCGCTACGATTTTTCCATCAGACAACATACCTTTATACACGGTCCCTTGGCCTCCTTTACCAAGTATTCGACTTTCATTGAAATGATCAGTTACTCTCTCTAGTTCTTTAGAAGTGAAAAGTCGTGTTCTTTCGAGAATAGCTTCATCATTTGATATTTGTTGTTGTAGCAAGAGTCCACCATTTCGTTCGAAGAACTTTTGTTTGCGCTTCTTATTTTTTCTCTTCTCATGAAACTTGCACAACCAAAAGCAAGTTGATAATAGAAGTAGTAATCCTATACCTGAGCCCAAACCTACTCCTGAAAGTTTCAATATATGCAAATTAATTCAAGACAAGAACATCACATCTAATTTAGACTCTAATCACATATAGTTTTTTTCCGAGTAGGGAAATTGATCGTTTTTTATCATTTAGTTATTTGATATTGACATAACAATATGGTAAAATTAATGATACTATGCACATGTTTGACACTGCTTCTACTTTTGGTGGAAGAGCTCCCTTATAAAGTTAAAATTTTCAAAAATAAAAAAAAATAAAAAATTAACCATATTCAAAAGAAGCTTCTTAGTGTCAATAGTAATTTTTGATTGATGTATTGGTTTGTTGAATTACTAAAGTGTGATAGTCTGAGTTAGTATTGAATTATATCTTTAATTTGCTCGAAACTTAAAGTACTTTTGCTCATTATGCCTTGAATTTGGTATTTCTATGATTTTAAGAAAAAAATTAGCATTTTTGCAGTGCTCAAGAAAAAAAATAGCTTTTTGTTGTGCTCAAGAAAAACTTTGTTGCGGGAAGAATCATAATTTCTTTGTTAAACTTTTGTTTTAGAATTATTGTGTGTCAAAATTATAATTTTAGCGTTTGAAAAAACAAATTTTTTTTGAAAATTTATAAAGGTTATGCTTTCAAAATCGGATCGGTTGATTTGATTAAAAAACCCATGATCGGTTCAGCGAGCGGTTTTATTTGTACCGAAAATATAAAAATCAGTTAATTTTCGGTGAAATGTCCAGTTCAATAAAAAATCAATAAACCGGACAGGGTTTTACCTATTTTTCTCGCTAGCTAAAAAATGCCCAACGAGAACGAAACTGCTGCTGCTGGAAAAATAAAGAAATAAATTCTTTTGACTTTTGAAATGGCGCAAGTGTCTAGGTTGATAATCCTTATTCGAGTTTTTCTATTTTATCACCCCACTTGAGTCCCATTTTTTGAGAAAAATAATTTTTTTAATAGTGATTTCTGAAGAATATTTGGTTAAATAATAGAAAAATTTTGAATTTTTGTATAAAATTATTTTATGAAAAAATATGTGGTTAAAATGACTTTTTGAAAAAATGAGTCTCAAACACGGGCTATATGTATTTAGGGATATTAATCTTTTTTCTAGGCCCATTTCATTTTTATGTGATGAAATGATTATTAAGAATAATTAACAAATGTTAGAAACTTTATTTTTAAAAAAATATATGTTAATATAATACTTTATTTTTTAAATAGTACATATCAATATAAAATTTTTATTATTTATTTTATTTTATTAATTTTTGGGTCGATCTTGATTTAATCTCAATTTGACCCTTTGACACATGACTCTTTTTTGAATCAATGTTAAGTCCAACTTTCAAAACATTGAAAATAACTAATACAGATATTAATTATATTAATTTTCTTTTCCATTATTATTATCATCAATAGAAATAGGTTATTCGAAAAAAATAAAAGATATAACCTAATGATTTATAAATCCAAAATTTTAATAAAACATTAAATTAATACTTGCTTACATAAAAATTAAATTAATTAAACAACGGAAATATTTAAAAAGAGGAAAAACTAAGAAAAATAAATATGCAGAAATTAATTGAAAATTACCTATTGCCATATTGCTATGAGTGACCGGCAGTTGTATACAACCAATACAATTTATTTTGCCATCACCATAATTACCATCGTTACAAGAACAGCTATATGAACCCAGAGTGTTGATGCAAAGTCCATGGGCCTCGCACGGATTATTGATGCATTCATTGATATCTACCGCCCATCAATAAAACATCAAAGCAAATAACTATTAGATTTTGTGTATCGAATTGGATAGCCCAATGCACGAGTCTTTTAATTAAATAATATAAAAAAATTTAAAAATAACCTTGGCACCCAAGGTAGGGATTGCCCTCATATCCTTCCATGCACCTGCACTGATATCCTCCATAAAGGAAATCCCAGTTATTGCAAACACTATTCTTTCCACATGAAGTTTTGTTGCAATTCGAAAAAGGATCAATTCTCCAATCTAACACCAATGGCCTATCCATAAACTCTTTATTATTCTTTAGAAATGCTGTTGAATCGTCGAGATCGGATAAATTGAAAATGAAATTACCAAGATCGCCGATCATTCCAACGGAGGCTAAACTACAAGGCAAATATCTGCTATCTCTTCTCCCAATAGTTTGCATGTCGAACAGTGTAACATAGAGAAAGTCAGTTTTGGATATGTTGGTTTGGCAACAGCCCCAGCTAGGGCATGTTCCGATGGAAAGTGTATCCGTACAAAACGACAGACAACCAATACCGCCGTAGATATGGGTTAAGTTTGAAAATTGTCGTACGACAGCCAAGTCTTCACAACCAACTACTGTTAGCTGATTCGCATCTGACAAGGTATAAGGAGTAGCAAAAAAATCGAGCCTTGTAGAATGATTCACCGTATTGTTATTGGTCGGCATGCCATAGCAACTCCTTGCCAGCTGCAGCTCCGAGTTCTTAACATAGATTTGGGATTTTGAGATATTAATAACCTCTAAGTAATGGACATATGTGTCATTCGAATTAACAAAGGAGAGGTAAGGTTTTGGAGGGTTGATAGAAATATTACAGTCGATGTTAAAGTCTACGTTCATAGAACAATATGGGCCGATACCAAATGGGTATGGAATGTCTACGTTACCACATCTGCTTTGGCAGCCAGGTTTGGTATTGTTGGTAGCGGCGTTTGACGGTGGTGCCACCGCCAGTGAAAGCAAGAAGAACATATGGAACAAAGCATAACGCATGACCATGTTTTGCTTTGTAATCTGCATGTTTAGAATGATTAAGCTAATCTCTTTATATTCTCATTAAAGCATGTTGGAAAACAGTTGTAGGCTACTATGTTTGCTATTCGATATATATACATCAACTAAATCGTTAAAAAGTTAAGAAGAAACTTATCTATTTATATTTTGTATTCATGTAAGTGTTCAATTTATTCATTTTTATGTCGTTGTGCTTCAAGAAACATATGTGAGAGATGTTATTTTAATTCTAAATAAGCCAATAATAATGATGATGGTGGTGGTGGTGTAACAGTACCTCTTTTTTGGTCTACAATGAATACACCTCTATGACAACCATGGGATATGCGTGGGTGGGGTCTCATTAGGTCTATTTTTTTTTTTCTCTTGTTTTATAGTGAAAAAATTATGACAATAGGGCATGTATTTTTACAGGCAAAATAAATAAATAAATAAATTGTGATCGAAACCATTCAATTCTCAAACTAGTATAAAAAATCAAATTGGAATCGATCGGTTTTTTGTGTAATGTCTCAAAATCTACATGTTTCTTATTGGAACCGGCGATAAATTGATCGATTCGATTTGATTCCAATTATGTTAGATTGGTTGGTGAAAAAAATAATAATAATACTACCCCTACCATGAGATCTCATGACATATTGGTCTTCCCATCAAGTCAATGCAGTCAATATTCCTAAAGTTTTAGTAGGGACAAGAATCCGACTTTCAATAAACGGCTATAGGCTTGCTGAAGACTTTTCGTTATGAAGGAACCACCTATTTTCATGGAAAAACTTTGGCTTAAATATTTAAGATGTCAAGGAATAAAGATATTTAGCACGAACTCTCACTTCCAGGTTCAATTTATTTATTTATGAAATGCATCACAAGAAATTTATTTATAAATAAGTAAAGATGAATCTGAGCTAAGACAATTTATCTACCCTCATGTTATATTGAAAAGCTTCATCAAAATTAAAAAGGTTATAAAATAAATATAAATAAATTTATATTTTTTATTAAACAATTAATCACACATTTGTTATGCAATAGACGGCTTTATTGCTCTGTACGTGTAATTGTAAAAGTGTCACGTTTTTTCTTGGTCTTCATTCCAAGTTAATCCATTTAATTTTGACAAAGTTGAGCATATAGACAAAAGTTGATTTACCACTAGGATCCAAACTTATTAAATGTAAATGGGTATTTAGGAGAAAATATAATGTTGATAGATCCCTAAAAACTTTCAAGGCTAGATTGGTAGTCAAAGGATATCGACAAAAGGAAGAAATCGACTATTTTGATACTTATGCACCAGTTGCTAAAATAACATCGATTAGGATATTATTCACTTTAGCTTTAATATATGACTTGCATGTTCATCAAATGGATGTCAAGACAGCATTTCTAAATGGAGATTCCAATGAGGAGGTCTATATAAAACAACCCGAAGGATTTGCCCTACCTGGGAATGAACATAAGGTATGCAAGGTGGTAAAATCTTTATATGGTTTAAAGCAAGCACCTAAAAAATGGCATGAGAAGTTTGATTTAGAAATTATATCTTTCGGGTTTAAACATAATAGTGTAGATAAATATTTAAATTTCAAAATATGTGAAAATTATGTGACATTTATATGCTTATATGTTGACGACATGTTGATTATGAGTAATTACATGGACTGTATAGAAGAAACGAAGATGTTTCTATCATCCACATTCAAAATGAAGGATCTTGGACATGTGGATACCATTTTGGGTATCAAGTCACACAGACTTGTGGGGGTTACCATTTGAGTCAATCACATTATATCGAGAATGTGATAAAGAAGTCCGAACACTTGACCTTAAAGGAATATAGTACCCCAATCGATCCAAATTAGACACTTGTAAAGAATAGCGGAAGGGCGTTGCTCAATTAGAATATACAAGTGCTATAAGGAGTCTTATGTATACAGTTTAATACACAAAATCTGACATAGCCTATGCAATAAGTAAACTTAGTAGGTTTATTAGCAATCTAAGCAACGATCATCGGAAGGCTATTGGGAGAGTTCTTAAATACTTAAAGAAAACCAAGAACTTGAGCCTACGATATTATAAATTTTCGATAGTATTGAAGGGATTTACCGATGCTAGTTGGATATCTAACACGGGTGAAAGTAAATCCACCTCGGGTTGGGTGTTTACTCTTGGAAGAGGTGTTGTTTCTTCAAAATTAAAGAAACAAACATGTATAACACACTCAACCATGAGATCTGAATTTGTGGCACTATCGGATACCGGGAAAGAGGTTGAGTGGCTTAAGGATCTCTTCTATGAGATACCTTTGGGATCGAAGAATATATCTTCCATTCCTATCATGTGTGATAGTCAAGCAACATTAGCGAAAGCATACAATGAGGTATACAATGGAAAGTCTAGACATATGAGTCTAAGACACGACTACATAAGGAAATTAATCAAAGATGGAATAATTTTCCTAAATTATGTAAAGTCAATAGAGAATTTAGCGGATTCTTTAACTAAATCACTAAATAGAGATTTAATGGCATCTATTTCGAGTAGGATGGGGTTGAAACTCCTTTGGCAATAAAGGTCTACCAACGGCGGCAACCCTACTCGTCATTACTCAAAAGGTAATTCATGGATTCAAATGGTAAAAACAAGTCATTTAATATGTGGAATGGTTTCAGCATCATTCAAATCTGCAATAATCCTATCTTAAGTAAAATAATAACGGTTGTTACTGAAATGAAAGCTGAGTATTAAAGCTCTTAATGAAGTTTAGTGCTATAACACAAGTATTTCTAAAAGTAACAAAGGTAGTAGAAGAACGTTACCTAAACAAACATCGAGGTGGTGCTGTCTCAATTGAGAGTTGAAATTTCTTTCTTAAAAGTTTGTCGAATAGGATGAGGGCAAGGCCATAAAATGCTAAGCGAGTTATGAGGAACTTGAGAACACGTGGTATTTGTGTGTGTGTCCAAACTAGTATTGTCACATGGGATAACTGGTTCAAAGCTATGGCTACATTTGATTCTAACTTTACTTTGTTTGGATTACACTATGACCGGATTCAAATCAAAAGATATCTAGTCTTTATGCATGAGTATCGTATGATTTGAGTATGAGAATTTTTTCTCGAATTTTGAACAAATGGGGGATTGTTGAAATGTTGTTCAACATTCAAGAAAAATGAAATGGGCTGAATAAATATGAAAAAAAAAACTTAAATGGTATTAGAGGCACCTTGTTCTATGCTGTCACATAGATTTATACTATACAGTCGCATGGCCTATTGCAAGAAATTTTGGGACCTCTTTGGATTGTTCTATGCTATCGTATAGATTTATACTATGCAGTCGCATATTATACAAAATTGACCGTTGAAGGACAGTTTCCTATTGTTGCAACTCTAAATTGTGGTGGCTTTTCGACCTATTTTGGCACCAATTCGTGCAAATTGGTGGTGGCATATATATGTGATGCATTTCAAGCCAAAAACAAGTGAGAAACATTTTTTTATCCATATTCATTCCAATATCAAAGATCAAATTCTTGACTCACATTCATACTCTTTTCTTCATTGTGTTCTTAAAGTTTTGGAGGGTCACACTTGTGCTTTAGTGCTAGATCTTTTACAAGACTTGATATAATCCTACGAACAGTTTACCAAAATCATTAAGCATCACAATCAATCCCGAGAGGAGGCAAATATAGTTTGAAAACAGCGATTACGCGTTCGAGCCTCCGATCTTGTTCTTATCAAGTTTCTGGTGTTAATTATTACTGTTGTTGTATTATTGTGATATTATTCTTCTCTTCACTCCATTTCTCCTCCATATTTTCCAACATGGGTTAGGTTTGAAAATTGTTATACAATAGCCAAGTCAACACAACCAACTGCTGTTAGCTGATTTGCAATTGACAAGGTATAAGGAGTATTAAGAAATTTGATGTATATGGAATAATTCATTGTATTGTAATAGGACCACGTGCCATAGCAACTCCTTGCCAGCTGCAGCTCCGTGTTCTTAACATAGATTTTGGATTTTGAGATATTAACGACTTCTAAGTAATAGAGTTCTTTGCTCGCAGAGGAATTAACTAGGTGGAGGTAAGGTTTTAGAGGGTTGAAAGAAGTATCGCGGTTGATGTTAAAGTTTGAGTTTATAGAACAATTTGGCCCGATGCCAAACAGGTATGAAATTTCTACGTTACCACATCCACTTATTGTTGGTAGCGTTTGACGGTGGTGCCACCGCCAGTGAAAACAGGAAGAACATATGGAGCAAAGCATAACGAATAACCATGTTTTGCTTTGCAACTTGCAGATAGAGAATGATTAGGCTAATATGTATTTGTAGACAGAAAATTATTATCATTAAAGCATGTTGGAAAACAGTTGTAGGCTTGCTATTCAACATATGAAGTATAACAAAGTATTTTACAATAAAACAAGAAAATGAAAAAAGAAAGAATTTGAAGAACTGAATTAACATTCGGTTATAAAATCAGCACTAAGAATCGGACTGAAACCGAGGTTCTCTGTACAATATCCCAAAATTCCTTAGAGGAATTGATGTTGAATCTGTGTTGAATCGACCGATTCAGTCCGATTGCAATTCAGTTAGATTGGTTCTTGGAGAAACTACCTACCCCTACCATGGGGTCTCATAACATATTGGTCTCCCCATAAAGTTTAGTAGGGAGAAAGAGTTCCACTTTCAATAGTTCCACTTTCAATAAACAGCTAAGGCTTGTTGACTTTTCTTTACGAAGGGTCTACCTAATTTCATGGAAAAACTTAGGTCTAAAATTTAAGATGTCAAGTAATAAAGAAAATTATTTATCTTCTTTCTATTTGACATGATTTCTCACGTGTAGGTTCGATTTACTTATTTTTTTTATCAGATGCTTGACAAGTAATTTGTTTATGATGAATTTGAATTAAGACATTTATCTTGTCTCATGTTATATTAAAAGACTTCATCAAACTTAAAAAGGGTTAGAATGTAAACATAAATAAGTTTATATTTTTTATTCAATAAGTAATTCACAACCATTACACAATCAACAACTTTGTTGGTATTAATTTTGAATAATGCTACTTTGACTGAA